GATGTACGCTTTGTTACAGTTATGAAGAAGAATGTTGCTTGGCTGGTACTTGACTTATGCGCACAATCATGCCGCAACCCAGGACGTGGGAGACAATGAATAATTGTCTCGTCCATTTTGGGACTCATAGCATATAGCTACGGCTGCCTGAATGATAAAGGCCAAGCGTATGCTTAAGGTACCGGCAAAGCCCCATTCTCGTTTCAAAAGTTTATTTAAGGTGGTGCAGTGACGAGTCCATCAAACAAGCCGACCTGACTAAGGCTATTTAAGGGGTTAGAGTGAGTCACTGATAGTTCTTTTGTCACTTTTTTTTTCTGGAGGATTTATCATAACTGAACCAAATGTATGCTTTGTTATGGTTATGAAGGCTGCGTATTAGCCAACCGGATGTCTCTGTAACTATCAAGCCTACAGGTGTTCAGTGTTCTGTAGCGTTTTATCAGTTGAAATTTCGCATTTTCCAGCAGCTGTATTTATGCTGGACAATCTACGTTGATATTTAACGGTCTTACTAATTTGAACTAGATGTATTCTTTGTTACAGTTAATAAAGGTTGATCAGTTTTAGCCAACCGCATGTCTCTGTAACTATCAAGACTATTAATGTTCAGTGTTCTGTGGTGTTTTATCAGCGAAAAATTTTGTATTTGCTAGCGGCTGTACTTTAAATCGACAGTATACGTTGATATTTAGAGGTTTTAAGAAACTTAACCAAATGTACGCTTTGTTACAGTTATGAAGGCTAAGTATTAGTCTACGCGATGTCTCTGTAATTACAAGCCTACGGTTATTTAGCGTTCTGTACAGTTAAATCAGTTGAAAGTTTGTATTCGCCAGATTAATGGTCCTAAGAAACACAACCAAATGTATGCTGTGGTTTCACCGACCAGAAGTTTCTTTAACTATCAAGCTAACGGTTATTCGGTATTCTGTAATGTTTTATCAAAGTTTGTGTCAATAGGCAGCTGTATATACCCTCGACAGTATACTTTAATATAATATGAAGTGACACTGCTTTTTGAAAAAACGACCATTGCTTAACAGCTGAAGTTGTAAAGTAACTATCCAAAGATTGACTTGTTAAAGCAATAAATGCACTTTATTTGTGTTCACTGTGAAAGGATTCTTTTCCGGCGGTTTTTCTACGATACTATTTTAAAGTAAGGCAACAAACTCTTCATATAATTGGGTCGAGTCGTTTTTCCACGAGTCCTGACAAAGAAAGTTTTTACCAAACAACTCCTTGGGAAAAAACTTGTGATTTCGTGGTGATATTTGCCGAACCGTCAGGCACAGCCGAGCAGTAGATAATACGCTTAAGTAGCTCACTGATGTTGTGGCTGGCTATCATTTCAGCGCTACAAAATTGGACCTAGCAAAGCATTTTCTGAAATGTTCCAGCTTAGGATAAAATCGCCTCTTTCCAGACTCGTCAGGTACGAAACAGCGCCTAGATGTGGGAGGGCTGAGACCGTTTGGTAACTAATCAAAAGAAACACAGAAAAGCCATAAGAAGGCATGTGCGGGAAAAAATGATAGCGCGGATGAGAAAGCAAGCGTTCTCCGTAGCTCTCCTGATACATGTTTTATAAAAGTTAACATCCTAGGTCTTAAAGTGTCACCTCCAGTATTTTATTCGACTCAGGAGTATCCTATTTGTCTGCCATGTCAAACCCATGTTAGGTGCCATCTAGTAAGTCAGTCATTCCTCAACATTCCAGAATATTTACAACTTTTTATTCTTTACCTTTGCCTTATAGATCTTTAATTTATTTAACTCACCGTTCGACACCATACTTTTCGGCGAACCATTCACAGCGAAGGTGGATCGATGCATCCCAACAGTTAATCATTTTCCACAGCCAGATTAGAACGAAAGATCTCAGCTACGCGCCTCGTTAGCTATCTATCATCTCATATCCAACGCGCGCTCGTGGAATAATTGTTAAATATTTGCCAGCAGCTGTATATATGCTGGCCACTGGACAGTGGCCAGCATATATACAGCTGCTGGCAAATATTTAACAATTATTCCACGAGCGCGCGTTGGATATGAGATGATAGATAGCTAACGAGGCGCGTAGCTGAGATCTTTCGTTCTAATCTGGCTGTGGAAAATGATTAACTGTTGGGATGCATCGATCCACCTTCGCTGTGAATGGTTCGCCGAAAAGTATGGTGTCGAACGGTGAGTTAAATAAATTAAAGATCTATAAGGCAAAGGTAAAGAATAAAAAGTTGTAAATATTCTGGAATGTTGAGGAATGACTGACTTACTAGATGGCACCTAACATGGGTTTGACATGGCAGACAAATAGGATACTCCTGAGTCGAATAAAATACTGGAGGTGACACTTTAAGACCTAGGATGTTAACTTTTATAAAACATGTATCAGGAGAGCTACGGAGAACGCTTGCTTTCTCATCCGCGCTATCATTTTTTCCCGCACATGCCTTCTTATGGCTTTTCTGTGTTTCTTTTGATTAGTTACCAAACGGTCTCAGCCCTCCCACATCTAGGCGCTGTTTCGTACCTGACGAGTCTGGAAAGAGGCGATTTTATCCTAAGCTGGAACATTTCAGAAAATGCTTTGCTAGGTCCAATTTTGTAGCGCTGAAA